GTGAGTTTTGGAGGATGAGCAGAAACTTTAACAAAGGCTGGGGAGGGAGCCCTGGAAGGAAAAAGGAATAACAAGAACAAGCCTCTCCCTCAGCTCCTGCCAGTCCCCCAACCTCTCCCACACTCACAGGAATAAAAATAAAACTAATCCCCTCTCTCATCCAAGCATTTTCTGGCCTCTGGCTGATGGGACAGTAATCCCTCCTCAATCCCCAACACTCTCATCTCAGCTTCCGTCTGCTCACAGCATAACCGCTCTCCCAGAGGAGGAATCCTCCCAGGTACAGAGAAGAGGGGCAGAAGCATCCTGCCTAGTAAGAAACCTTATCACAACAGGACAGAATCTCAGTGAAGGAGCACATCGGTATGTCAAGACCCGGTTAGGATCTTGGCACACCAGGCACACAGGAGGGGCTCAGTAACTAGTTACTAATGAATTAAACTTTGAATGGGAGTGCAGCTCCATATTTCTGGTGGGGTTCTACTATATCAGTATTCTGAAGAACTCTGATCTCACAGAGATCCTGGAACTTCCAGTGGGGAAGGAGGTCAAGAACAGCCTTTTAGGAAGAAGCAAGACACAAGACAGAACAGAGAGTAAAGAGTATGTCTGCCAGCCTGCAACATACCAGGACCACATATCTACAAAAAAAAAAAAAAATCAAAATGTTTGCTGGGTGTGTTGGTGCACACCTATAGTCCCAGTTACTCAGGAGCTGAGGTGAAAGGATCATCTGAGCCCAGGAGGTTGAGGCTATGGTGAGCCCTGATCCTGCCACTGCACATCAGCCTGGGCAACAGAGTGAGATCTCCAACTCAAAAAATAAAAAAATAAAAATGTTTGCTGGGTGTGGTGATGCACACCCGTAGTCCCAGCTACTCAGGAGGCTGAGGTGGAAGGATCACTTGAGCCCAGGAGGTCGAGGCTATGGCGAGCCCTGATCCTGCCACTGCACTTCAGCCTGGGTAACAGAGTGAGACCCCCAGCTCAAAAAAAAAAAAACAAAAAAAAGCAAGTCCAGCCTTTAGAGCCTCAGGTGGTTAATTTCTTAGTGTGTCCCTACTGTGTTAGTCGTGGAGGGGTCAGTACCTCCAAGTCATTTCTAGTCCTCAGGAGATCAGTCTCCAATGGGGTCCAAAGCCCTCAGCCTCTATTCCAGACATCACTCTCTTCTCCATTAACATTGTCTACCTTTGATTAATTTTGGTCCTCTTTTCACATAATACATTTCTTTGTATTCTCTATGCATTCACTGATCCTTTCATACTGGGACTCTGTATAATAATTTGACCTAACATGATGCCGAGCAAGATACGAGGCACACAGAGGTAAAAAGACACTGATAGTGGTGGTCTGTGGGTCCCATACATGCATGATTTATGTCTGTCGATGTCCCCAAACTTTCTGTACATTCTTGATAGTTTTATATATGAAGCACTCACCAATGAAAGTGACTGAGAAAATCTGGGATCTTTGCTTTTTTTTTTTTTTTGAGTTGGAGTCTCACTCTGCTGCCCAAGCTGGAGTGCAGTGGCATGCTCACAGTCACCGCAGCCTCAACCTGCTGGGCTCAGGTGATCCTTCTGCCTCAGCCTTCCAAGTAGCTGGAACTACAGGCTTGCGCCACCACGCCCAGCCAACTTTTTGATTTATTGCAGAGATGAGGTCTTACCAAATTGCCCAGACCGGTCTCGCACCCCCGAGCTCAGGCAATCCTTTCACCTCAACCTCCCAAAGTGCTGGGATTACAGGACTGAGCCACCACGCAAGAGATTCTTTATTACCTGAAAAGATCATACTGAACTTGAAGAGGGACTTGAGCTCTAGTATTTCTTTTGGAAACCCTCCAACTCCCACACTCACCTCCCAGAGGCCAGCCAACAGGGTTTCCTTAGGGTGGCTTCTACCACAAGGATGATAGATAGCATAGCATCTATTTCTTCAGTGTCTCCCTTCCTGACCATGAACTTCCTAAGGGCCAAGAAGGTGATGTGTTTATCACCACTACACTCCAACATCTACTGCAGAGCCCTGCACACAGTAGGTATTCAGTACATGCCTGTTTCATGAAGAGGGCCAGGAGAAAGATCATTGGACCAGGAACTGTCTGGACTCAGCAGATTCAAAGTTCAGCTACTGAGAAATCAGGAAGAATCATCTCGTGAGTTGGGCTGGGTGTAGCCACTGTACATTCCTGGCAAGTCTGTTCTCTGAGAGAGCCTACCAGGAAGAGCAGTGCAAGAGACCAGGTGAGTACAGGTCTTGTGACCACAGCCTCAGGAAGGTATGTCCTTCATTGTGGCCACTACTCTGATAGGCGGAGATAGGGGACCTCACATTAACTGTGGTGGGTGATTGTCACAGATTAACTCATTTCACCCTCATGATGACCCTATGGGAAAATGAAAACCCACTTCACAGGCGCAACTCTGAGGCCACAGTCCCTAGGGACTTCAAAGCCTTCGGGGAGGCTCACAGACAATGAAACGTTTTTTAGAACCACACACTCTCAGGGATGGTAGAGGCCTCAAATCTCCGAGTACACCTCCCCTCCCTCAAAAAGAGGCTCAGATTCCTAAACCATTCAACATCACACAAGCTTTTGCCTCCCTCCTGAGCTGCAGGGGACATCCTCAGGCAGCTCAGCTTTCCAGAGTCCACATTTCTACAGTCAGCCTCACATGTTCTGCTTGTATTGACACAGATCAAGGCTAATCTCAAGCACATGACAGCCCTCCAGCTATCTGAAGGCAGTTAATTGCCACCTCCCCTCCCCTAGGGTTTAGAAAGATGACCACAGAAAGAGGTTGCACAGGCCGCTCTATGTGAAATTCACTTTGCACAGGTTACCCAATGCTTCTCATTGATAACAAGAATTAAACTAAGACAGTGTGTATCTTGCTGGAGTGAATTGATCCCTGGGGGCGGAGCTGGGGGGAGTTTAGAGGAGCTGGACACCAACATCTACAGAAACCTTAAGGGTCTTCACGGAAACCGAAAGGCTTCAAAGAGCAACCAAATTCCTTGTTTTACAAAAGAAATCAAGTGACATGAAGGAAAACAGTCATGAGAAGCCTTGGAAGCTGCACCTGGCCTTGACCCGCACCGCCATGCATCAGACCGCTCTGAAATGCTGCTGCAGCCACCCTGTGATCTCAGAACAATGCTTCCATAATAACAGTCTCCAGTCTCACTTTCACCACGTCCGCAACACGCAAAGGGAGGAAACCTATCATTAGCTCCATGTTACAGAGGGTAACCGGGAGGCACGGAGAGGTGAAGAGACCTGCTCATGTTCCTTGGCCAATTGAACTTGTTCTTGGAATTCAAAGCTCAGTTAAGGACTCTCTGATCATGGTTGGCAATGAACTACTGAAAGGGGCCAAGGAGTCTCTTCCCCTGGAAGTGGATTTCCTAAGGAATGGAAGGGAGCCAGCTTGGTGGGCAGCGTGGTTTTGCACTTTTTTATGATTGCTGGGTGTGCTGACACTTCAAAACCGACACTTCAAAACCGTGCTCCTCTTTCCTTTCTGCCTCCCAGCCAGCATGCTTCAAGGGACAGAGCACTGAGGAGAGCTTCAGGAGTCTGGGTTCCAGCTGGTGACCTGACCGGCTCTGTGACCTGGGGCATCCCTCCTACCCCAGGGAGCTCCAGTCTCACCTATGAAAACAGGGGCAATAAATTCTTCCCCATCAGTAACCTGAATGCTTTGAAGCTCAGATGACTACATGCAGGCAGGAGGCAGGGAGGCCATGCCCACAACAGACCACTGTCCCTTCACTCACTTCCCCAGGTACCTCCCCTCCTCAGGAGTCCTGCTACCCAAAGAGGGTGAAAAGGTCATGAAGGTCTCATGCAAGCAACAGACAAGGAAAACAACTGCAGCATCATCCTGACAAGCCCTGACACCTATATTTTCCCAACAGCACCTACAGTCATTAGCATAAGCCTCATGTGCCATGCACCATCAAAAGCATGCTCTGCTACTTTTAGTCCTTACAATTGCCCATTTTTATAGGTGACAAAACTTTGGCTGGAAGTTTAAGGTACAGTCAGTAAACAGAGAAGCCAGGAGGAAATCCTCATTCTAATTCAGTGCAGCGGTTCCCAGACTTTAATGTGCTTGTGAATCACCTGGGGACATTCGTGAATAATTGGTTTCTGATTCTGTAGGGATAGACTGAGGTCTACGCGGCTGCTCTTCTAGCAGGTTCTCAAGGAGATGGACTACACTCTGAATATCAAGGGCTGGATTCTAAATTCCACTAGGATAGAGCCTGTGTAACTGAATCCCCAAGGCTTAGCACTAGGCCTGCCCCATGAAACATGATAATTATTCACTGAATGTGTCAATGAGTATCTGGCTCAAACACCCAGGCTTTAGCCCTTCTCTTTATCAAGTTCCATTATTTATGTCATCTGACCCTCCTAATGAATTCCCAAAGTATGAGCATGCCTTTCTGACAGATAAGAAAACAGAGACTCAAGCAGCAAGTAGCCAGAGACTTAACAGCTTTTATGCAGCAGGGCTTCTGATCCTTTGCCCCGACCACAGGCTGCAGCAAAAGATGGGGCGGGGGCGAGGAGTGACCGGCCCACAGCTCCGGAGGTCACCATGGAGCTCTGAGGTGCTCCCCTAGGGAAGGGGCGATGAGGCCTGCAGCTCACCCTCTCCCCCGAAAACAAGGAAGAGGAGGCCGGTCCCGCGAATGGGGCCAAGCGGCAGTGAACAGGTGCTGGGGAGGTGACCCCTGACCTCAAGGTGAGCCCCGCTGGGCCCAAGTACCCTCCACGGGTCCCAGCTCTGGAGGCTGCCCAGCTCGAGGGGCGGGAGGATCGGCGGCGTCCGGGAAATCGCTGCCCAGCGCCGGATCAGCGGGCACACGACGCGGCAGGGGAGGGGAAGGTGCGGGACGGGGCGGGGGCGTGGGGAGGGCAGGCCTAGGCCCGGGAGCGCAGGGAAGCCCCCAGCTCTCGGGCTCCCGGGCGGGAGACTCACGGCCTTCAGCTGCTCCAGGCGGTC